AAGTGGACTGGCTACTTACGCTTTACACTGAAGGACTGTGTAGCCAGCTCGGCCGTGTGTCACAAGATCTGAGGCTCAGCGCAGGCATTGCAGTGGCAGATTAGAGAGACGAATCCAGCGACCTTTGTTGTCTAGGCAGTTGCAGGCAGTGTGCCTGCTGGAGGATGCTTGTAGGCAGAGGACTGGCCTGGAGAGGACAAAAGAGACGACATAGCGTTGGGGGAAGAGGGTTGGGGAGATGATGGAGGTAGGAGGAAAAGGAGTGACGAGAGCAAGTGCGTCATTATATGCTCTCGATCTTTGGTACTCGATTATGTAATCACTTCGATATATTGTTTAAAGGTAAAAACAAATTATATTATAAGTCTGACAGAGTGATTGTTAACATTATTAATATATATAATTGTATATTATCTTACTAAAAGTATTGTAATTAACTTACAAGCACAACATATTACTTTTATGACTATTATAATCAATCAACTATTATTACAAATAACTTATAATATAATTTTAGCATATTATAATAGGAGTTGAGTACTTGTACCTCACATGTAATGTTGTAATAATACTATTAGTAAGCTTACTTACTCTAAAACATGTTTGTAGTTTAATAGAAACTTTGTATATTTCTTACATTTATATACAATCATTATAATTACATTACAAGTGAAATACAAGTATTATTTTAGAATGTAATGCTTATGAAATCATTTTATTAGTTTACTTTTGCTATTATTAAATACATTTGTTACGACTTTTTCGTGATGTTGTCCTTCTTCTTCTCTGCCTGTCTCGTCATCCACTCCGCTGACCGGCACAATCCGTACACCTCAAACTGACATACTTCGTCCAAGCGACCAGCTGCTGTTCTACGGATACGTCTGCACATCAATAATACTTGCCATTGCTCCGAGTCGTGCAAAGGAATTCCTTGCACCTATTTGGCGTTCCGTCTTTGACGGATTACTATCGATGTAGACAGTGCGCGAGCCATTTGCGCAGCTGGATTTGAAGAGGACGGTATCACTTCTGGTACGGATCCAGCGAGTCTGTAAGTAAGTGGTTGAAAAATGGATATGGGAGGTGGACAAAGAAGGGAGGAGGCTGATGCTCGTCTGAGGTAACAAGGGAGAAGATTCTGAGTCACTTTTCATCAATCTGGGCGACTCGTAGAGACTCTGATCATTATGCAGAATACTGTATATAGTGTTTCTTTTTTTGTAGAGTACGATATCCAGTTATCTCACACTTTCTTAATGTTTTGACTAGTATGCTTCGTGCATGATGCTGTGCTGATTCCTTATTTGCAGTGAATGAATTTCGTACACAACGTATCAGTATTTGATCCTGCATTAAACATTCTCGTCTGTTATGAAACGTAGAAGCCCATGAGACGTTACCGCATCAAGATTCCCAGTCAAATATGTCATGGCAATGTTTGATCCATCATGTAGGAAGATTGTACCATCTTCCGATCATTGCCGGCACCACTTACTTTTGTTCACAAGACCATTCCCGATTCTAAAAATGGACATATAATTTCATCGTTGTACTTACCTTCTGGTAACTGAACAACATCCGCAAAGCACAGGTTGTATGCGCATCTTCTTCATCTATAGATATGTCAATGAATGAATCCCGTTGGATGTAAAGAGGAACTGGACCAATCAGTCTAACGATTCATGACAATCTGCAAGTTGACGTCACTCTTGTAGCAACCATGATTTTATAGTGGCAGACACCTAGTTTCGCTAACTGGTGATACCTCTTGACGGAGTTTGACGGAGTTTTATTTTTATCTGTGGAACATGGACGTTGATCACTCCCGGATCCAAACATGTATGTAATGGGGAAGACAGCGCTTTGCACATGTCTTAAGACACGACACTTTGATCTCCTCTCCAACCTTTCTAGATCCCACTAATCCTTCACAGAAGTGTCTACCTCTAATCTTCCTATGTCAGACATATCGCTGACGCTTGGTCCTCAGTTCTGGGGTAAGTCATTCGGGGAGGGGGGGTGCAGTTCCCAGTTATGTAAATTTATTTCTTCTTGATTTCAGGTTTGGTTGTCTCCACACTGTGTGTAATACCGCCACTCCTATCTGCTTTTGCCTTAAATAATTCCCAGTCTCTTGGGAGTGGCACTCGTACAAGGATATATATATTATGCAAACAATCGTGATGGATGGCTTATGCATATCTATGTGAGATTTCTAATTGTTTTTGATTTGTCGATACTCATGCAATCGTCAGGTGTTTGTAATGCTGTGGGTATTTCACCGTTTTTACCCGATACAACAAGTCACTAACAGGCCAAATTTTCAGTACACTGGACGTGTCGACAACGGCACTCGTATCTGAAGCGTTGTACTACTATCTGGTTAGTCGCATAATCTACCTTTTTCTAACATTGATTTTCAACCATTTTAATCCTAAAGATTACAAGTGCAGGAAATCCAAGTGCACTTTTAGTAATTAGAAGGTGTGCCTGGCAGTAAACGACTTTTTCGCAATGGCATGATGATTCTGTAAAACAGCACATTCTATGCAGAAATTTTCCTATCTACGATAAACATTTTCTTGTGTGTCCCAATTTGATACGCAATTTGAAGCACTTATCCTTCATTTTGTTGATTTTGTTCGTGCATGCAGATCACAACAGTTCTATGCAAGCCGCATCTACAAATGTGAGTGAGCTACTGCTTAAATAGTGGGAAATGTGTTAAATAATGGTTTTGTAGCCAGGACTAGTCGCATTGGACAGCTAGCAGGCTATGTTGTAGTAAGCCTCCATTTTTCTCCGAACGTTTGATTATTTGATTGTGATACCTAATAACGTGTCAAAGAGCATCCTCTCTGCCGTCTCAATCGGTAAGTTGGCCCCAACAACTAATCTATCTTCTTTCTGACGAGATTTATTCAGGATTTGGACTCGGTCAGTAGATATTCTACTTTTTTCAGTTCATGAGATCTGATTGTGCATCATTGTCTACGTGTGAAACAACCAGCCGCCCTGTATGAGCTACACGCGAGCGGCTTGAAATTCTCGTCCCTTGTAACACCAAAATACAAGGTGGGTAATAGGTTCGTTTGTAGACGTTAAACGTGTATAATGTCAAAATTTCTTCAGATTCTCCTTTCCCTTGGGTTTTATATCGATACCTTGTGTAACCTTTTTGCGACATTCTCGATGTGTTACTTTCTCTCGTCTTATCATACAGTTTTCAAAACGTCGGTAACTCATCGAATTGATGACAAGCGCATAGACACTTATAAGATGGGCTCAGGACTAAAGATATTGTGAACTGGTTATTTTTCTTCGCAATCAACCGCAGCTTTCTTGTAGGCGTCACCACTTGCACGTGCATATCACTATATCTTGCATATCCACTGGAAGGGTATTGGTGAGTCAATAATTAGATACACTACCTTTGGGGTAGGATTTGAGTTGAACTTACAATTATACATCAGGGTCCCGTTTCATTTTCTCATGCCTAAACTGCATGTGAATACACTTTGTGAGTCATTCATCATCTAACAAGTTGGATATAGAGCAGATGTTGACTGAGTTGATTAAGTGGCAATGTCAGTGAATGTTGCATTGCGTTAATGATTCTTGGTTGGCTTTGCTTGCGCCTACTTATCATTTTTTATTTCTGTAAAGGCTTAACTCACGAAAAATGCTCCGCGATCGAATGGACGGGCGCATCAATATCCTCGAAAGAAGTGGAGACAAAACGCCGAATCATTATCTAACGGCTATGCGATCAAACCATGCTATAGATATTAAGAAAAGTACGGGAGTTTACGTCTCTGTTGACAAGGTGTGTTGGTTTAATTGCATTGGACGTATAACGCTGAGATATCAGTACAACATCAACTAATAGCACGTTTCGATTGACCCCGAACGTATCACACGAAATTCGATGCCGACGAACCCTTCGCTCACGACATGCGGTGAAGAACATGGACACAGTGCCATTGAGCTGTCAGATTTCGGGAAGGGAGCTTCAATTGCGTAATATGTCGATGCAGGAATCGCTTCGAATCTTGTTCAGGTTAAGTGTATTTCGGAACACGAATTGCTCCAGCGTTTTCAATTCGTATTTATCTCCATTCTCCATTTTCGTCCTGTATTCTCTGTACAATGAAGTAATTATCGAATACTCTTGTAGAATTAGACGGTTTGAGTGTAGCTCGTTCGTATGTTTATGTATGCTCGGAATTATATGTGTCTAGATGTGGTGAAAGAATATTTAGCGGTTCGTATGTAAATACTAATTGAGAGTGGACTGTACCTGGCCCGAGATATCTGAAGGAATTCACAAAAATACCCAGTAGATAGTACAAAGTGCATAACACAATAAATCAGGACGCTAAACGTTATCTTGATGGAACTTCTACAGCGCCTTCCTTCTCTGCACGGCGCTTCGCTGCCCATTCTCGAGCTCGAGCACGCCGAGCTTCCATCTTCGCTGCGTCAGCTGCATCCTCGTTGTTCGTCACATCCGGAGGCTTTTCTTCCTCACTTTCCTCTTCGTCAGTATCTCCATAAGCACCCAGACCCATCAATTCCAAGCCCTTCGCCTTCTTCTTGTCCTCTTCTTCTTTAGCGGCGGCGGTAGCGGCTCTTGCCTGTGCCCGAACCCAAGCCCTCCGCCACCGCCCTCGCATGAATGCAAATCGCTTGTCTGCACCATGGTTGGCTAGAATACGAGCAGCAAGCTTTGCACGATCTGGAGATGTGTGAAGGTGTATAGCGGTACGTTCCATCAGAGCCAGTTGCATCGCATCTGGTTCCTCATCACTTCCGCCCCAAATATCTTCATCGTTTCTTTCCTCGCTGTTATCATTGCTGTCGCCTGCAGCCCGAAGGGCAGCGAGTCTTTGATCTCGTGCATCTTCAAGTACTCGACGGCGCTTTGTTCGACGCACGTTTTCGATTTCTAAAGGTGAAAGGAAGAACGCATCCTCCGTGTCCGATGGAAGATCTGACCAGCCTGACGAGAGTTGTGGAGACCCGGGTTGCACTTCGGACCCATCCTGGGCGGAACAACACGTAGGTAACTCGGATAGTAGAAGGCGCGCATCAAACCTGGTGTTTGTTAATATTAGTCACTGTTTATGGAAAAAATTAAAGAAAACCCATTTGACGCATGTACATTTTAATTGGTGGTTATTCATTACAAAGTATATACTTTATTGCACGTGTAATAAGAAAGCATTCTCAGATTGTCTACATACCTATCTACCCAACAGCTCTGCTTGCCTGCATCCCATTTGATCAATGCGGAGCCCCGAGATGGAGAGGATACATCCGAGTTTGGTAGCACTGGATCCGATTCTGACGCTTCGAGGGCTAATGCAAGAACGTCTTTTCCAGGAACAAGGTCTGCTTCGTAGGCTTCGACGCAAAGCATTTGCGTCCGCGCGTCATGCGACTGAGGTACATGGTGCGCTGCAAGCCAGTGAAACTCAGGTTGGTCAGAAGTTATCCTTTTGCGCTTCTGGTCGTAGCTCATTGCGGAAAGATGAAGCTGAAGGAGCGGGAACGAGGCCGAACGGTCGCTGAATCCTGTAGTCTGGTAACTCTGTAAGCACACAAATAAGTGCAAATAGACGCGTTTCAAACCGAAATTCACGTGACTCTAAATTACCATTTTCGCAACGTAATGATCAGCCTACCTCGTTGCCCATTCAACAAGCGAAACAACTTCTCTTGCCCCAAGCTCTCACGCCCTTTGCTTTGAATCCGCCTCCTGCTCTTACCAAAACCTCGAAAACTCCATTCCTCAGGCTCACAAACTTGTTGGCTCTCGGGTACTCTCGGGTACTGGCTCTCCGCTCCAAAGTTTATACCCTTTCTCGAGGCGGGATGTAGCAAAGTCGAGACCGCGAGGAATGCGAGTTATTCATCTCTTCGATTTTAATCTAACACGATGCAGCACTGCCTATGCGAGTAGAGCGGCACCCATGAGAAAATAAGGCCAAGTTCAAACCTTTACAGGGAATCTAGACTGCTGGCCATCGTTTCAAGTGCACTCGCCTTGGAAGTGAATTATATGTCCAGAAGGATTATCAGGCACTCTCGACTGTTCCATCGGCACCAAATGCCGGTGATAGAGCGACGATGTGCTGTTTTTCTGACTTACTCATGCGCCTGCCGAGGAAGACGATCACTGGATGTCCGCTTGCGCTTGTTTTCTGTCAATTTGTTCCCCTCTTCTCTAATTCATCCATTTCTTCGGCATGATGCTTGGCGGTTGCTTTACTCAAATCGAGGCATGGCAAATGACCTGGACTTTGCGCGGCATCAGCGGCCCTTGACATCTATGTGCATGCGGTCTGCGTGAACAGATGGTCTTTGATGAATATCGGACTTGCCTCCGTAACTCGAACTGAAAGCAAATATGTACACACATGAACGATATAAAATCTGCTCAGAATCGATGTATTTCTCCTCAGTCGACCGAGGCATCTCATACCGACTAGTGTAGCTCAGCTTTACAGCCCTTCACAAAGACATTCTCACTCATCATGAAGTTCACTCGTCTTGCTGCTGGGCTCGCTCTCCCACTCCTTGCGGTTGCCACTCCGATGCCAGGTGGAGTCAAAACCATCACGGTGACTGCACCTGCTCAGCCAGCGCCAACTGGTGTCTCTCAGTGCAATACTGGTCAGGGCAATTTTATATAACAGTAAAAATGCAGTGTTCTAATAAATGGCCTTTTGCAGGTCCTATCCAATGCTGTGACAGTGTTCAATCTTCCAGCTCCGGTGGACTCGTCAGTGTCTTGCTCGGCCTTTTGGGCGTCGTCCTCGACGGAGTCAACGTCCCCATTGGTGTTACCTGCTCTCCGATCACTGTCATCGGTGCGGGTGGTACCTCGTGGTAAGCGTCATGACACAAAATGTATGCATAAGTTACTAATTTGACTTTAATATAAACCAGCTCTGCTCAGCCCGTGTGCTGTGAGAACAACAACTTCAGTACGTTTCTATTTGTCGCTCTCAATAATTCACACAGTCTCTGACTTCTTCCATTAATAGATGGCCTCATTGCTGTTGGCTGCTCTCCCATCAACATCAACCTTTAAAGGAGTCGAATGCAACTAAGAAGAAGATCGTTATTGTTCTTAAAGGTCTCGGAACATCGTACTGTTTTGTAATGCGCATGTGGATTTTGCGGACCAGTGTTGATTGCACGTCAATTCGGGCGCCGCTGCCGATGTTTATGCCCAGTTTTCTCTTTCTTATTTTTGGGCTTTGGTTGTATTAGGGATTATTGTGATGAAATAAGAAAAAATTTGACACGAAACGAATGCCTGGCTCGCTCGCAAAAAGAGTTTAAGAATAGCTTGGCGCATCATGCAAATCGTGATCTTTACCTTCAAATGCCACGAAACGTGTTGCTAAAAGACATGCGGCGCTGTCGCGCTTTGGTGAGAATAGAACCTTATATCACCGAGGTTAGGCCATTTGATCGAGGCAGTTGAATTGCCCAAGTAATGGTAAAGGTACCATCCAGTCCATCATCCTCATACTGTACGGGAAGAGTTCATTAGAGCACAGAAGCTTGCAACCAAGAAGATGCTTCCAGGTCTCGGCCGTCGGGAATCGTGCGATCGTCTTACATGAACGCCGCGAAAACCGGCGCGTTGCTTTTCCAGAAGGGTGAAAAGCGCCTTGAAATCCAATCTCCAAAAGCAAAAGGTGCAAGCTCCCTGCTGTGTAGGCGTCAGTTGGAAGGAATTTTGTAGTACCCCAAAAAAGAGATACAAATTCATAGCATCAAGAGGAGAGAGTCGGAAATTTCGGGATTCCGCATTTCTTGAAGACGATGACTTGTTATGCTTGATACCCACGCAACCCGTGAGTGCTTTGCAAGAAACCAGACGACCATCTATGTTACCTTTCCGCGTGCAAGTGAAGAGCTACGGAAGCGAAGTAAGTAAGTCTCGCGGCCGTTCGCTTACTCCAATCTTACCAAAAGTCGCATTTAAGAGTCAAGAAGGCACAGAGGGACGTAAAGACCATAGGGAACTTACGGGCGGAGTATACGGTTGTCTACAAGGAAACGAGCATGCGTATGCTGATTTCCTATCATGTACTAGCAGCAATATGGAAAAAGAAAGGAAAAACAATGTACAATGCAGATATGTGCTAACCTGATGTATTTGTAGACGATCATCTCTTAAATGAAAACAGGGTTTGTATAATGCCGAGTGATCAGCGGGATTAGCATGGCACGGATTAGCATGTCCAAGGCAATAGCTTGCATACGTATGGATAAACCTTGCGGACAGAAATGGTGGTTTTCCTTTTTTTTTGTGCCTGGCCCGTACTCCCAGCCTAAGAGCTATTGGGATTGAGGAGTGACACGGAAAATACGAGTGTGGCGAATGAAGAAATGCCCAGAGAATCTATAACTGTAGCTATCGATGTTCGGAGTCTGACATCCGGCTGTAGCTTTCCCGACGAGTCCGATGACATAAAGCTACGTCAAGCCCGTTGCTCAGGCCGCGCGGCAATACAGGCAAAGAGACCTCATGTTGCGGGACAAATCCCATTCTGCAAATAAAATTATCGGAATAGTCTTGACTCTCGACATCAATGTTAAAGTACGTGCTTGGTTACTACGACCAGGTATGCTGGAAGGCTGAAGACGAACAACGAGAAGGTTACAGAGATGGCACGAGCTAGTCAGTCAAGCGAGAGTTTCAAGCAGAGTCGGCCCTGGCATAGACGTGCATTTTCTCACCAGCAGAGAGACTAGGAGACAGTGAGACTGCTTTGTGGCAACCAAAGTAAATACTGCGCATAGAGACCGGTTTCCGTCAAATGAGAGTATACTCGGGGCACGCCAACTAGGATCAGTTGTCTAGCCAAGCTCTAGGTAACAATGGTTATTGGGCGAGTCCTGTCAGTCATTGTGGGGCCCGCTATATTTATCATGAGGATAACTTGCTCTTATTCGCTGTGCATTACAGCCAGGGCAGTGTCGACTGCCTTGCGGTCCGACAGTACAACTGCCCTGTGGAGCAAGCATAACGTCAGGCTGAAACGATTCGGTGCATCCTAAACCAATCATGCATCTGCAACGTGCAATTCGAAGAAGTATCAAGGGACCAATCAACTATGATCCGATGCGCCGCTCGCTGACTGGCATGTATTTGAAGTGTCCACAAGGTATTATCAGGTACAGCGACTTATCATCGCAAAATGAATGTCTGACGGAAAGTATACACACTGTGTACGACAAGAATATCACACGCAACGTCAAATTTCGAAGAAACCAGATGATGCACGGACCACATACGCAAGATAGCTTGAGACTTCGTTTACTTCGCATGTTTATTGTGATGTTGTCATTGTATACGTTGATACTCCTGTGCCTACCTGCGAAGCCGCAGTAAGACAGCTCGGATAACTCATAATATCACAACTTCGACCGTAAACCTTGGCAGATCTGGATGTTGAATAGCTGTCAATCTTGCTTTGAGAATCAGCGAGATGCAAAACAATCGCGTCGAAGCATGCAATCCACATTGTGCATGACTGAGGAATGCATATAACGTGAAATATTAGTCAGGAATGACAGAAGATGTGGTGCAACAACCAACCTAAATATGCTAACGTGCCAGCAACGCACAGCAGAAGTGCAAACGACGAAAACTGGGCAGCGTGTAAATTAGCCAGTAAAAGTCTAGCATATTTCAGTCCAATCACGCATCTTGACAAGTGGACACTCCGCGACCATTATCATTCATGCATCCCGACAGATGGTTCCTGAGTCTTTATATCAAAGCATAAAAGACTGAAGACATTTCCAACACACCACCGGAAGGTCCCGAGAGTTGCAGTCGTACCTCAGTACATCGAGCGCTGTTAGACGGGAAGGCACAAAGGAGCACTCGAACGTCCAATAAAGAACCTCATGTCTTCGAAAGTTGTTGAACTTACATTATTAATATTAGATGCCGCAGTCGCCGTGTCCGAAAATACGACTATATGCGCATATACGTACATATGTCTGGAACACTGCATTCCTCGATGGTGCCCGACAGGAGAAGCCGCGAGATTACTGCGGAAACGCGGAATGCGGAACGCAAGATAGGGAGTATATCTGGTTTTCAATGTCAAGACAGCATACCGCGAGGTAATAACCTGATTCTGCGGAAAAGAACCTACAAGGTACCCGCCAGCGAATCTTAGAAGTTGTTCTTGCAGTAATTATGACAACATAGCACATTACAAGACGATGTCACTTTTACTGTGGAGCACGCCGTAAAGAAAGTCGGCACAGCAAAGAATTACACGATTCCCCATCAATCTGACAAAAGCGGGCGTTGTACCACCGGTAAGACTGTGCAATGGTGCATCCCGACTTCCAGACCTTTCGACGTGGCCAACACGAGGTACTGTAGAATCCGATATTATACCGTTCATAGCATTGAGGAGTGGAGACAAAGAGTCCCAGCGCACGGATCAGGATAATGTTTTGAATTGTACGTCCAGACATTTGAATGTCGAGGCACCCGAGCACGATAGATTTCATTTGACGGATATGTGACCGACCTGAGATATCGGATGATAGAACAAGCTGTACGACATTCCAAGCAAAGGAGCCGCTGGAAGCTGAGTACTGACGAAAGTGGCGAAAGTTAAAACAGTCAGAGCAAAATTTTCAAGTTTCAGAAAAACTTGTTTGTTTGGAAAGTCGTTTGATGGAAAAGGAACTCGCGATAACGGTCATGGAAAGTACGTTTGCAAGGCACGACAAGAAGCCAAGGACGTCGAATTCGAGGGAGAATAGCTGCTTTACGAGGCAAAATGAACGCGACCTAACCGCATGTAAACTCATGACGGGCAAGTTGGGCCGCCGAAGCTGTGACAACCTACCATACAAACCCCAAGTGATAAGCGCGGACAGTGCGCGCAGAGAAGTCGATAGAGTTCCAGCTCACCAGGCAGCCCATACTTCGAGGGCGTGTTGAATGTGAGAGTCTGAGAGAGCCTTGGACTCGGGCGGCGGGGGCATTTCACTTGTTTGGATTTATTTGTTTTTGTTCAATTCTCAGGGCGGCGCACTACTCACAACGTCAACCACCGAGGGTCATCGGGGTTGCGTGCGTGCAAATGACGGCCCGCTCTTGATTTCTTGACTTGGCTCTACTTCGCGCAATCATGATCCTAAGAGTGATCTCGTCAATTCAACTGCGCGCCTTGGAATCTATGCCTTGACCAAGGACCATATCTCGGACACAGTGTCACCTCAAGTGCATTGCAAATCCTGGTCTCTTCGACCCTTCGTTCGTACCCGAGACGTTCAATATGAAAGAATGCGTAGAAGCTCTTTGACAAGCTTGCTGGAAGTACCTTCGTCGTTGCTGGTGATAGCGGCGGAATCACTTTTCCGACCTCTGCGGCGCCGGGCTCGGGCGGGTCTGCCTCAACAGACTCGGCAAAGGGATCGACACTGTGAACATGATCGTTACCAGGACCTTGTAAAGATCGGGCTGAATTGAGGCCTGGGCTCCTGCCTTGGTTCGATGATAGCTTTTCCCAATTGAACAATGAAATTCCCGTCTTATCTGCGCCTTCCCGGAGGAAAAAATTCGAGATAGTGCTATTATTCTGCCGCTCGCCGCACAGTCTCCACGTCTGATCGCCATTAATACCAGTCTAATGTTCGTTTACGGAAGCAAAAAGAAGATTGGCTGAAATGACACGGCAATGACACGCTTCTCGCACCAAGGTTTCTATTCGTGCTGAATCACCTAATCGGATTGTTCTTTGTTGCCCAACCCAACGTATAAAACGAGGTAGCCGGACGCGACAATTTTCCCTTTTTATTCTCCCCCCTCAGTGCACGCTTGCCTCGCCTCCCCGGACTCTCATTTGTTTCGCGCCTCGTTCGTCGCAAAGCCAATTCACAATGATTGCTGCTCGTGTACTCCGCGTGTTCCTTTTCTTGTTCGGAATCCTTGCTGTCGCCAGTGCGAGGATGGTGCCCTCCAAGACGACGACTGTTACAGTCACCCCGACACCCACTCAGCAGCCAGGCCAATGCAACACAGGTACGTTAGATATCCCAGAGCCTTCACATATTAGTGCTCATATTTTCTGCTACATTCAGGCCCGATTCAGTGCTGCCAGTCCGTTCAACCTGCTTCAAGTAGTGCAGCTAGTACTCTCCTTGGTTTGCTCGGAATTGTCCTTCAAGACCTTACTGTTGATGTTGGCTTGACCTGCTCTCCCATCTCAGTCATTGGCCTTGGCGGTAACGACTGGTAAGCGAATATGCATTACTTACTGTAAACAACTAACACACCATGTTCTCAGTAACGCGTCGCCTGTATGCTGCGAGAACAACAGCTTCAGTACGTTTTTCACACCCTTTTCATTATCTGACCGTAATTCAAACACGATTTTCTTTCTCTACAGATGGTCTCATTGCTATTGGCTGTGTGCCCATTAACATCAATCTCTGAGGAGGTTCGCTGTCGTCGACGTCTCCCCTACATACCGCTCCGCCTCGTGTCCTCTTATGAGCTTCGGCTCGTTCCACTCTTTATTAATTAAAAGGACCACCTGCCCACCTCTCGCTCCGTGCGCACACATGTTCTCCACTGTCATCGTGCGCCATATACATGTTCCACACTTCTAGCACATCTGTCATTTCTCCCACGTATGTTCGATGTTCTCATCAGTTTTTTTTTTTTGCTCTCGTGCATGGCTGTGGTTGCGTTTGTGGAGTTTACACGCTTTTTCGCTTCCGATAACGGCAAAGTACAGTAGTGTGAATTCGCATGGCGCCCAACGTGTTTCGATGCACTGATTGTCTTCTACCTTCGCTCTTCGTCTTCGGGTGTCTTCTTCCGGCCCGCCTTTGTTTCTTCTCGTATGGACATAGACAGTATAGCGTATTTAGTGGTTAGTGAGAATTTACTTTTCTCTTCGATTCCTTGTAAGTAGGCTCCTGTGTGTCAATGTCGCAATGGCATAACCTGCCCCTTTGATGTGCTGTTTTGCCGAAAAATTGTCCGAGGTGGAGTCTCGGTGAGCTTTTTTACGTGGAATTTTCATATTCCTATTATTACTGTACATGGTCTATATTTATTTTGTATGTGATGTGTTTCGGCGGGCTGATGTTGTGATCGATGTCTGATTTTTGCATTCGGGCGGTGATCGACATGATGAGAACGTGTATACAACGCAGCATACTAGCATTCATATGCGAAGTTCTTGATTAATAGCTTACGAATAACACCGAACGGACTATTCACATGAACATCGACAAGCTGTATAGTATTCTGGGATCCATACCTTGAATATTAATTTACTACAGGCTATGATGGTGAGGCATCAACATAAAAGGAAGAGGCAATACAATCTGTGAATTTAATTGTGATTAACCGGTAGAATCAAGCAGCAGCAGCTTCTTCTCTGTTGGTAGCCGACACTGCTGTCTGCTCGGTGTACTCTGACGTGGAGTTGTGTGCAAACTCCATCCCGTCACCACCAGCTGGAACCCCGACAGAAGATGTACTCAGCCCAAGTTGGCGTCTGGAGCCTAGTTTGCGTAAACTGAGGATAATCCGTGCAGTTAAGACAGAATGGATTACTCGCTCGATCCTGAACGGCATGATTGAGGTTAGTTTGCCCTGAGTCATTTGAGAGTGATGTTATGCAACTTACACTGAGAGGAGGTTGATTAGGTCGGCCTGTACAGTTGATCGAGCAGATGCACAAGGATCAGTAAGAAGCAAGCTTGTGATCAATTAAAGAATGCTTACTGAAGACGTAAGAATAACAATTACGTTTGCTGTAGACAGAACAAACAGATATAGATAGAAGACCGAACCTGATCACAAAGGTCAGGTTGTATGCTAACGTTTTTGGAACAGCAGCACAGACCATCTCTAAAAACAGCACGGAAAACAGCAGAATTTTTATGCATTCGGTCTGTACCTGATATTTAGATACGACAAAATGTAGTCTGTGGATTGTTGGTACACACAGTTTTTAATTGCTTTGATAACCATGAGTGTCAAGATAGCTACGGTTTGTGTGTGTATGTTAATGCTTTAACTTATCGATCAGCCGAAAAGCCTTACCAGCTTCAAAGATCACGAGAAGAGCCCAACAAACAAAGACAATTGGGCTGCCTGCAACAACATGACAACCCGAGCCCGGGACTTTTATTGGTAGTGGTCCATCTGAGGAGCACAGCATCAAAAATTGAACTTGGGTATAGTATAATATGCTGTCCACTTACATTCTAAAGAATTGAGGAAGATGCCAAGACTAGCCATATTAGGGACCCAAGTGATGATGGTCCATATTACAAGACCTATTGCAATTGCGCGCCGCTGCTCGTAGACAGCCCACGTCCGTAGCATAAGAATGACTTTTCAAAGTTTGTGTACAGTTAGATAAATCATGTTTATATTAAACGAAGTAATACTAACTTTCTGCAATTAATATTCCAGAGAGCAGCAGCCCTGCCGGAAAATCGATATTGAGTCAATGATTTCAAGTCACAGAGTATGGACAACAAACATCCCGTGCTCTTGTAGACAAAATCACAGTCTTTTGGGGACATTTCTGACTTGAGCAGTTCTAATTTTGGTGTTTTTGAGAATTATCAGAAATTGGATCATGGAACGTTACTCACGCCAGAGAATTATAGTAACATCAATAAACGGTGCATATCTTGTCAGAATATATAGTATCTTCGTCAATGACCATGATGAAGGCCATATGAGGGTTTTCTCCGAGTCGAACGTAAGCAAGAAGTCGTATATCTATAAGAAAAGATAATTACTCAAAATTACTCCGACATAAAAGAGACAAAATACCAATATTGTGAAGCTGCAAACTACAGGATCGGTGAGGATCACAGTGCAACAGATATCAGTTAGGTAATAGGTCCGTTAAGTTGAGCGCTGATATAGCCCACCATCTATGTACTCCAGAGAGTCTTTCAGAGTTATGCATACATGTATGAGATTGTCCGTGGCAACTTACGTTTGATAAGCGGTTGTGCTGAAGGGTCGCATCCCACTGGGATACATTGGATGGACTGGCCATTGGTACGACTTTGCTGATGGTAGAAAATTCGAGGGGATTGAGAAGTGATAGGACTAAGAGTTACAGTATCACGATGTTGTATGAACCAGTATATGTAGACGACATCTAGATACAAAACATCGGATTTGAAATTCTACTCTTCCAGCTGATGTATCCATACATGTAGTAAGTAGCCCATCCAAACAGTGATGATCGATTGCACAAGGAGGTTCCTATCAGCTTAGATCTCTTTCGAGCGGCAATAGGTCTGTTTCCTGGCGAAGCGTTATTTCAGTGGTTCTCAGAATACGGTAGCATTGATTTGAATCCCTTGACGAACAAACGATTACATGTTTTAGGCCTAGAAAATTTATGAGAGTTTTCCTGTATGAGTCGAAGGTCCGTAAGATTTAATTCAAGTTATTTCTTGAGAATGACTCTCCAGGGCGACTTACCCATCTAAGCACAGCTCGGCATATAGACATCAAAGCGGAAGAGGCACGAGTTGTAGTATGGATAAACTACGGGCGTCTTGTGAAACCTTGATCGCCTCGCGATCAAAGTGAGGCCCAGTAATTGTCCACTTGAGAGTTCACGAAGTTTACTGCACTGCCGAGGTATGTTAAGCACGGCCCAGTTGATCATCTCGAAGTAAGGAAATCTGCAACTACTGACGACCCTGCAGAGTATCTTAATTGATGGATCTAGAGAAGAATCAATCAGTGCGTGGCACTGTGTTGGCTTCGAAGGGTTCTGCCGTCCAAGAGATGGGCGGAGAGATGGCTCAGCTTGTAACAATAAATAAGTGTCGCTGATCTCCGTAATTGTCAATGATCGACGAGGCGCCGATCACAGTTGGGTCGAATGTACACTGGCACCTGGCTTACATTTTACCACCTTAACCTTGTTTGACGCTCCTACGTACCATACATACACCATACCATACCATACCACCCTTAGGAGATCGAAAGATGCATTGAAATCCCATGTGAATTTGTCCTCATCAGATATAGACTCTAAGACTGCAAATTGTAATGGTCTGTTTTACGGTTTTTTCTTCTCGTCCGGTCGACTGACCATATTACCGCACAATAATAATGCACTCAGTGATTCTCATCAGCAGGGCCCACACTGTTTGCAAAGCTGCTTCAGACCCCTGCTCGTACAGGGTGCATGGACTCTACATTTGAATTATCGGCTGCGTACTGTTGGCTCTTTCATCTAACGTCGTTCGGAGGTTGGGAATGGGTACATTCGTAAGAGAAGTTGATGCGCTTGACAGGCTGACGGATCGAATTTCCAGTACTCTCCTCCCACGTCTGAGCTGAACTTTTGTCGAATGGCTTGCTGGTACGCACTAACTTATAAAGCAGGGATTTAGCTTCAAGACTGGAACACCGGCCCGATTAGCCGCGGATTTAATCAAACTCCATTTGCAATCTTACCATTCAGTTTACATGGACAATTCTGGGCGCCTTTCCCTTACAACCGCATATCTATTCACTGGAACTGTTATGTAAGCCACTTTGCCCCTGCTTTTCCGTCGTATACTTTTTTTTTCTCCTAAAACGCATACTACAATATTTAGTGGATTTACGACAAGTATTTTGTTCGGCATCCTCAGAGGGAGACATCTAGTCGTCTATTTATAGAAAATCCTCGAACTTTGCCCAAAAGTTTCGGGAAACTCGTCTACCTAGGCGTCTGTGACTCTGTCGATATGGCAAGTATGAATGATCAATAAGGTAATTAAATCTGTGCCTGACTAGCCAGGATCTCATTGTATCGAGATCTAATGCTTGGTTGTTCAGCTTGTGCTAAAATTTCTACTGCCTCGGGCAAAGATTCATTCATTTCACCAATTACACTTCTCATCAACTCAGAAACAACCTGTTATGAAAGAGACTATAACATATTATGTGTCATTTCGAGGTTCAGAGAAGTCGAACAGGGTCTCATACTTCATCAGATCTCATGTTTTTTTCCCTAACCGAGCATTTAAAGCGAACAGGGTGTGAAGACTCTTTTTAGCCTTTTCACTCTTGTCCGCCCTCATCTCATCACGGTTTTCCCCCTACTTCGCCAACCTCCCGCACTTCCCGCTCATATAAACCGAGGAGATGTATCCTACTCATATTCTTCGCGCATTCTTCTTCTTGTCCGGAATCTTTGCGGTTACCAACGCAGTCAAGGTTCGCTCGATTATACCGACGCCGAGTGATGACACACCCGCGCCTACTCCTGCCGCATCCATTCAATGCAACGGAGGTCGGTCAACCGTTCCGAAAATCTATATTCATGCTCGTAATTTATCCTGGATACAGGTTCACTTTTGTGCTGCAACAATGTTGAACCTGCGCGGGATGCAGGTTTCCTTCTTAGCTTACTTGGAATCGTTCTGCAAGACCTGGATGTTCTTGTCGGAGTGACATGCTCCGCGCTCACCAGCGATTCTGCCGAATCCGGTTCATGGTATGTACATAATTAGAGTATTACTAGTATTCGTGCCTGACAATATGATCTATTTAGCAACTTTTCGCCCGTATGCTGCGAAAATAATAGCTTTGGTGCGTCATTTTCTCGAGTCCTCTGCTATCGAACTAATTTGACTCTGTCTTTTAAGGAGGGCTTATTGCGATCGGCTGTGAACCCGTGAATATTAATCTCTGAGGTGGATGATTACGGAATACACGTTCATTTCAACGCGCTTAATATCTTTCTTGGTGCTCCAACACAACGGCACTCTTTTTCATAGATTCGGTTCTTTGAGTCGCGCTTATATACCATTTGCATATTTTTTACACTCAAGAACATGTTCTGGTTGATATATTTTACATGGGGCTTTAAAACTTGTTACTCGAATTTGTCTTACATCTCGAAGTTTACTAAATCTATACTTTCTGAACGTCGCTACTAGCTTTATGAAGCACGAAACATGCAACACCGCCAGCTAATCTTGTGATAACACATCATAAGTTGTACACAAATCCACAGTCCAGATAGACGCGGACAATTGCTGTATTCCCATCAGAATGACGTTCCCCGAGTGGATGTATTCCTTCCCGATTTGCCAGGTAGTGTCATCGGGACGATAGTTAGAATGGCGAGATATAATATCCTATCATCATCAAGCCATAAGAAAATCATACAGCAGATCTTTGAGGCTTGTAAGTTTCGGATGTGACTTACCTTTAAATAGTGATCAACGTATGACGAAACGAAGCACGCAAGATCTTGCATATTCAAATCATACACATTCACTATCACCTCGCTATTGAATGCTGGGTATCCAGGCCACTGTTTTCAATGAGATTAGACCGTATGAAAAGCATCGAAGAGATGTTTACAGCTTACATGAATGACAATCTTTATCACTGGAGCTCCATCGAGCGGTGGACAGACCATGTCCTTCGGGTTGCACATCTGCGGCGCTGGGTATTGATATCTTGGATAGGAATCCCGAACTGTGCGTCTGCCTTAAATTCGATACACTTGTCTGACTTTTGCAGTTCTTCAGGATGACTCTCCTTCATGGGAATATAGGTGACGAGAACCTTTGAATGGTCCGGGGCGCAGCTGTAAACAAAGTGAATATGAATGGGAGTAGAGGAGAGGAGTAACGCACGTAAGGAGGGCCAAGCCACAACATTGTCGGCACACATAGCTCAAAGTGGGTCCGTTGTATTTATGCTGAGTTGACGGAAGTAACACGGGATCCGGAGGGGCGAATTGCCTCCGGTACGCAAGGCGGTCCAACCAAAGTTGGGGGTTAAATTCACCAGAGAGTGCTTCTCGGAGAGAAGGATAGGTCAGAGTGACTGAGGAATTCTTAGACTGCTCCATGGTTTGTTGGACTTGAAAATATCGCGAGAGCAGGAGAGGAGAACAGGTAGAGAAGGATGGAGATTTACGAGCTTTCTCGAGCCTATATATACCTACTTTCGAGGCCACTAAGGCCACTTAGCATAAGATTGAGTCATCTGTGCTTAGAAATAAACTGGTCCACAGCACTAGTCCTCCGTAATGTACACTTGGAGCCTTTCTGTGAGACAATGCTACATAGACTGATACAGTGGGGAAGTGAGATAACGATGCTTCCACAAAATTATTTGTACTTACCGGAGTGTCCCTGATGTTAGATCCAACTGATTCTTTATTAGCCCGAGAAAAAATAGATAAAAGTGATAAGTATGTCAGGCGAAGATAATACAGCGGTGGACTACCACAGATGATTACAGTACTAGAGCCCTTTGGGTATTTGTGGAAGCGTAAAGGCTAATGTGGTATGGCGTATTGTTCTTCACCAAAGCGCGGTTACTAATATGTCCACAGCTCTGTCACAGCAAAAGCAAGACTTGAACGCGCCAGAGGCCTGATAATATAATACGATGCAAAGTTCAGTAACTAGCATGTAAAGACGCTTTGTAAGCTGGTCAGGGTTTGAGATGATCGACATCATTCAGCGTCCGGTCCGACTCTGTTATCGTATTCAGTACATCCGTTTGACAATCGACTACGACAACGAACAGCGGAATACAATGTCAACAAAAATTCAAACAACGATTGCACCTCATTCGCAGAAACCTGTCGTAACACGCACATACCCGACCGAAGCCGAGTTCGATGCCATCATCCAATCAGCGGCCGACGCACAGAGAACTTGGGCGAAGGTGCCAATCGGCGAACGGATTGCAATTGGTTACAAGTTCATTGTAAGTGAGAAAGGAGGATAAAGTGTAATCGATTTTGATGATTTGATGGCTTGTAGGAAGTGTTCAAGAAGATGGAAGCGGAGTTCTCGCTTGAACTCACGCAACAGATGGGCCGGTGAGTTGGTTATTCTGACCTCTATTCCTCTTATATGCGTTCAATATTAACTCATTTTAATTTAAGCCCTATTTCTCAGACGCCAGGAGAGCTCCGTGGCATGATTGGCCGTGCTGAATACATGCTCTCCATTGCCGAAGCATCTCTTACGCCTGTCTTACTTACCGAGACCGATGCTCCAGGATTCAAGCGATACATCAACCGTGTTCCATTGGGTGTTGTCCTTGTTCTCGCACCATGGAACTTTCCATATCTCGTCGCAATAAACAGTGTGCTTCCTGCAATCGTTGCAGGCAACGCGGTTCTTCTGAAACCATCCCCGCAAACCCCACTTGTAGCGGAGCGCTTTCAACGCGTATTTGAGGCAGCCGGACTACCAAAGAGTGTGGTACAAGCGGTACATCTCGGTCCGGACGGTGTATACCATGCGATCAAGCACAGATTGGTGGACTTTGTGAGCTTTACTGGCAGTGTTACAGGTGGACGAATGGTGGAAAAGGCGGCAGCCGATGCCGAAGGTTTCAAGGGTGTTGCTTTAGAGGTTTGATTATCCTCTTCTATATTGATCATTTGGTTCTCATGATCTCCTTATTCGTACTTTCTAGCTAGGTGGCAAGGATCCGGCATATGTTCGACCGGACGCCGACTTAGATTATACTGTTGCCGAATTGGTGGATGGTACCGTGTCAATTTTACTATCCAGCTTCTAGCTTGTAGTGATAAGCCATATATAGGTGCATTTTTCAATTCGGGGCAGAGCTGCTGCGCTATTGAAGTAAGTGTCTCAGTCCCTTTGTGCTTCTTTATTCGGTATTAATTGCGACTCACGTTCTGGACCTTACCATTCACCCTCAGCGAATTTACGTGCACAAATCAATATTTGATAAGTTCATTTCCGCATTTGTCGAGACAGTAAAAGTAAGATATTATTGTCTTCGACCCATCGTAAACAGGAGGACTGAAGACTTACTCATCTTTTTAAGAAATACAAGCTCGGTGACCCAACGGACTCGTCCACAACACTTGGCCCTGTTGTAAGCATCGCAAGTGCTGATAGGATAAGAAAACAAATCGCAGATGCAGGTGAAAAGAGAAAAAAAGGCCTCTTCTGTACCTACTTTTCTCACTAGCTAATCCTACTTGACAACAGTTGCAGCAGGTGCCAAGCCTCTCATCCCCGAAACTCTCTTTCCCGCAGCAGTCCTGTGCGTTCCATCTCTACAAGCATTTACTTCGCACGACTGACTCTAATTTATCTTTTGGGGTGGCATGCAGGGGTTCGGCATTCGTTGCGCCACAGGTTCTAGTTAATGTTAACCACAGTACGTTCCGGACCTTCATTTCGGTAATGCCTGTTAACCGTTCCCGGAATACATAGGTATGGATGTTATGATGGTGCGCTCAGAGTTTTTCCCTTCCGGCACACTTCCAGTACAACTCAACATCTCATCATCATGATTGTATCTGGTCACCTCAGGAAGAGACGTTTGGCCCTGTAGGCGGCATACAGTCTATTGCTTCGGATGAAGAAGCTCTGGCGCTCATGAACGACTCCCCGTACGGGTTAACTGCCTCTGTCTGGACTGACGCAGAGCACAATGAAGAGTCGCATGCTGCTTTCATGAAGTTCGTTGATGGTCTTGAGACGGGGACTGTTTTCTTGAATCGGTATGCTCCCTCTTCAAGGAGCCTTTTGTGCTTGCTGATTTGGTTTTGGCGCATAGATGCGATTATCTGGATCCTGCACTTGCATGGACTGGAGTGAAGAATAGTGGGAGGGGGATTAGTCTTAGTAAATTCGGTGAGTAACTTGTGTATTCGCAGTGGCATCCATTGTATTCGTTCTGACATTGGGCGTGTATTATACAAAGGATATGACCAATTAACGCGAGCGAAATCTGTGCATATGAAGATTAAGACCTCGTGAAATGCGGATCTGTCATGCGTTATTGAATGATTGTTGCCTTATAGTACCTTGGATATGTACAGCATTATTGTATAATATGAAAAAAAATTAAATTCACTCTCGTCCATAAGTTCATCCCCTATACTATGTATGTGTTGTGTTGTTTAGTGAATTCCGTGCATTTCTCCCATCACCAAATCGAACATGAAAATGTATTGGAATTTACTGCTAAGACATATATTTTTTACATATTGTGGATCCTTATATTCGCTTATAAAGTCTACATGTAAATATATTGCCTTGTCAGACTCTGCACGTTTTGGTGATGCCGTAACGGATCATCCAATAGGAAACGGAGAATACGTAAGCGTCGATCAAATATTTCATCTGAACTAAATCCTACCTACACATGGGGCATTTCACAATTTCTTG